TCCACACAGCGTTTCTAAACAGGCTGCTCTCTGTTTCTGTTTGCTCTCCATCCTCCTCCTGCAGGAGCAGAGCAGCATCAGGACTCTGGACCTCGGCCTGACCCACCTGAACGCCTCGGTCTCCGGCCTGAAGCACGCAGACAGACAGCAGGACGCCAAGATAAAGGTGCTGGACACCACCTTCAACATCCTCCTCCAAGACGCCAGCCGACACAGCAGGGTCCTGAAGATGTTGCTGGGAGACGAGGTGATCGACTTCTTGAAGATGATCAGCCTGAGGGAGAAGGACAGGCAGGACCACGAGGACGAGGAGGAGGAGGAGGAGGAGGCTGACTTCATCTCCGTCCAGGCTCTGAAGGAGGACCTGAGGCACCTGCAGGAGCAGCTGAGAGAACACGAGCAGACGATCATCACGCTGAAGCAGGGCCAGACGGGTACGCTTTTACTGTGAAGGGACAGCTGCAGGCAGCTGATGCTTTTATTTTGAATGAGCTATCCTGTCAGGGTTGCCCCCTGCTGGACGTTAGATAAAATGCAGCTTTAAGAAGCTACTTCCTGTTTTTGCTTCGACTCATTTTTGACTCATCTGTTCTCAGGAGGCAGAGAGGAGGTGCCGTCTGCAGACCAGCCTCCCTCCTGGTTGCCCGGCAACCCAAGGAGGGGCGGCGGCGACGCACTTCCTGCTAGGGAGCAGCAGATGCTCTTCCATCCCGGGGATGGCGGTGACCTATGGAACCTGGAGAGGAAGGTGGAGGAGGTGGAGCGCAGGCTATCCCAGCTGGAGGAGAAAACGTGCTCCTGCCCCAACGCCTCACGTGTGGTTGCCACGGTGATGAATGAGGTGATTTGGCTGAAAAAGGGGCTGGAGCAACACCTGGGGGTGTTCAAGAACGTCTTCAGCAACGCCGACATGCTGGCGAGATCCAACGCCACGCTGGAGCTGGATAAGCTGTGGCAGCTGCTGAAGAAGAAAGAGAAGAAGAAGCAAGGAGGACGGAGGGAGGAGTCAGAGAGGGGAGGAAAGCGCCGCAGCAGGAGGGAGTCACCAGGTGAGGTTTCAGGTAACACACTGCTGAAAACAGTGTTATTAATGTTTTATTGATAATAGTTGTTTGTTTTTTCTTTACATCTTCTTCCATTGTCCCCGCCTCTTCTCTCCAGGTGAGCCCGTCCCCACCAGCCTATCAGAACGCGCCCCGCGGTTCGTTGCTCAGCCTCTTCAGAGCGTCTCTGGCGTTGTTGTCTTTGAGCCGTCTTTGACCCAGGGTCAGTTTTACTCTGGCAGTACCTTCACGGTTCCAGTGGATGGGATCTACCTGTTTGTCCTCACCTTGCACCTGAGACCAGGCCCCGCCCATGTGGTCCTAAGGAGCATGGGGGAGGAGGAGAAGGGCGGAGCCTGGGTGCCTCTGCAGAGGCAGGAAGTAAGTAAGGAGGGGCCAGCTACCGGGGTCAGCCTCCTGCTGCTGAGGGAGGGGCAGGAGGTGAGGCTGGAACTGAGGGGAGGAGAGTGGGCGGAGTCAGAGGACGACATGTTCGCATGTCTGCTGCTCTACCCAACCACCTGAGGGCGCTGTGGACCAATCAGCTGACAGCTGAAGGAACTGGTTGGATGAATGGACGGATGAAGGCAGCTTAGAGGATGAGGAGGG